CATGCCTTTTTGTGCCTGGAAGTGTGTGAAGGAACAGAATCCTTACCAGGAAGAAGACAGCCCTCTTTCCAGAGAATGACGTAAAATGTTTCTTTGCCTTTCCCATCATGCAAGACTTCCTTTCAGTCTGCAGAGTTACCCTTGAAAGGCACCTCGGTCTATTGCTTTCACTGTTTGTATCCTCAGGTTCCAGCTCCAACATGGCGGGAACCAGGGGAGGAATTCTATGGAGATCCTGGGAGGGCTACAGAGAGCCTTGGGGTTACAACTGATAATTCTTTTTTTCTTTTCTTTTTCTTTTTTTTTTGAGACAGAGTCTCGCTTTGCTCCCCAGGCTAGAGTGAGTGCCGTGGCATCAGCGTAGCTCACAGCAACCTCAATCTCCTGGGCTCAAGCATCCTACTGCCTCAGCCTCCCGAGTAGCTGGGACTACAGGCATGTGCCACCATGCCCAGCTGGTTTTTTCTATATATATTAGTTAGCCAATTAATTTCTTTCTATTTATAGTAGAGACGGGGTCTTGCTCTTGCTCAGGCTGGTTTCTAACTCCTGACCTCAAGCAATCCACCCGCCTCGGCCTCCCAGAGTGTTAGGATTACAGGCGTGAGCCACCATGCCCGGCCTACAACTGATAATTCTTGAAATCTTTCCAGGAGCAAGTGGTTTTTCAGGTTTTAAAGAATAAAGTACTTACAAGAATCTTTCTTTCAATATCTCTTTCATGGTAGAACTGCAATGCCCAATCATCCTAAAATACCGTTTTGGAATTGCTGACTATACCAAAAATTCACACTCTCTTCTAAGATGAAGAGTTACTGCTGGCAAACAGCTGTCCAACCAGGGAACCCCGATCTCAGCTTCCAGAGCATGTGGGAGGGACCATGTGACTTGTCCTCATCAACAGATCTTGAGGAGAGGGGTTTAGTTCTAGGTGCTAGTTCTAATGGCCGCTCTTCTCTCTTTGACTGTCATCTAGCTGAATGCAGAGCGTCCAGTGGAGATGACAAGGAGGGCCCAGAGGATAGAAGGAGCAAGACGGAAGGAGACTGGATCTTGAGCCACCACTTTAGAGGACAGCTGCTCGACCAGGGACATAAGCTTCAAATTTCTGTGACTGAGAAATAAATTTTTATTGTATTAAGGGATTGTGGTTTGGGATTATTTGTTACAGCAGCTAGAGTTAATTACCCTAATACGACCATCTTCCTTAGCATGAGGATGAGGATGGAAAAGACAGAAGAGGGTCAGGGAGAAGATAGTCTTCATTGGTCATATGTACAAGAACACCATGTATAACCAGAAACCCTAGTTCCTAGAATTCCATCCTTCACAAATGGAATCAGCATCTCTATTTGTCCTGCCTAAAAATGCTGTACTCAAATCTAATAGTTATCAAATTGCATTATGTTGGCAGTGCAGGAGGCTTAGAGACAAGTGAGACAGAGTCCCTTAAGTCTCTTGTAGCAGCATGATGCTTGCCAAACAGAAACACCTGATAAATGTTTGTTGAATTGGATAGTCTGAGAGTCAGATACGAAACAAAATACTTATGACACAAGATAAGTGTCTAAACAGGGCCACTGGAGTAGACAGTGGAACAATTAATTTTTCTTGCATATAGTATGTGTCAGTGGTAGCAGAGAAAAGGCCACAGTTTCTGGATGGTTCTCACAGAACCAAGATGCAGACAGCCCCAGGTTCCTTACAGCTACAGAAATGAAGGCCACCGCTTGGCCTCATATGCTGTCATTGCTGTTCTGGGAACTCCCAGGCCTGCCTGGCTCTCTGCTAGTGGTCCTTCCCATGCAGGTCACCCATTGCTGGTCCCCTGTCCTCTTACCCTCCACATCCCTGCAGCATCCTCACCCTTCCCTTCCCAGCACTTCTGCTCCAAGGAGGTCAGGGTTTCTGGCCATACCAGGGAGATGTCCTTGCCTACTTACCTGTTTGATTATCAGCGTCCCCTGTTCGCCCAGGGATCTGTGCCCTGAATACTAGTCTTCTCCAGTCCTTTGATGAGAGGGCAGCTCCGTGGCTCTCCTATGATCAAGAGAGAGGAAATTGTCACCTGGTATCCAGCTGACAGTCACCTCACCACTTTCCCTTTCTGTTTACACATTTCAAGTTCAGGTTCTGGAAAGGCTCTTTGGCGAACAGGCACTTGGCCCGGCTCTTTGGGCTTCTAGGTTCTCGCAGGTGTCTAGGCCCTGGTTCTGATCTATGCTTTTGAGAGCATTAGGGGAAGTTTGTCTTTCAACATACTTTGATACACTTAAATGTGTTTCATGATCTTTAAAATAAAAAGATGAACCCAAAGTTCTCTGCAAAATTGGGAAGGGGTGGGTGGCTCAGAGGGTTCATTTCTCAGGCTGCTTCCAGACCTTTTATGAGTTCTCCACTACTCAGTTCTGCCCCTTGAGGGCACCAGAGACTGCTTTGCCATGCATAGAGCCGCGGGCAACTAGGCGGCAATCACAGGCAAGAACAGTCAGTGGCCAGCTGGGGAAGCCCTGCAGAGTTTTGCCAGGTCGGTGGGATGATAATGGGACCCAGGAGCCTGAGTTCTAGCTTCAGCTCGGCTGACAGCTGGCTGTGTGGCCCTTCAAAAGTCACTTAACTTCTCTGGGCTTCAGCTGTCTCCTATATAAAAGGATGGGAGCAGAAGGAACTGTCTCAAAAGACTTCTAGATTTAGTGCTTTCAATTCTTCTAAATAATAAAGAAAAACTGGAAATAATAGAACAGCATAGACCCTTCTTTCCTGGAGCCTTTGAAAGTGTCCCTGTCCTGGGCACTGACTTCAACATGACCAGAAATCAACTATGGCAACATGGCTGGGAAGGGGGTGATGACTGAGGCGTACATGACAACAGAGGAAAATGACACTCAGGAGATAAATTGGAGGTGGACATCCCATAAGGTCTCCCTAATCCAGGATCCTAGCCGATACTAGGAAAAAGATCTGGAGAAAGATTGCAAAACCTTTAGTAACCATCCCAAGCTCTGCCTGGCTGTGTATGAAATAACAGATATGGAACGGAATATCAACCTACTCAAGGGGCTTCAGTATTACTCACCAACCCTGTTGGAATGTGGGCTGCTGTCTCCACAGTATTTTGAGGCACAGATGAACTTTCCTTGACATTTCATTTCCACACCTGAGTTGTACACGATATTTTGGTTCACACCAACTCATTGAGGTAGGAAGATAAAAATGCATGGATGTAGCCTTGTTCCTGAATAAATGAATGAACGAGTCAAGGAATGAAAGTAAGAGCAAGCACTGAGTGGGAGAGACTTGGCTGTGATGATGGCAAAAGCAATTCTGATCCAGGTCTTCAGCTCCTGAGCGGAGAGTACGTGGTGGTGGGTCAGTGGGTCTAGTCCACTGTCCCAGTGCTTGTATGTAGGTCAAACGCAGAATCCAAGGTGTTGCAAAGGACTCTATAAAGAATATGTGGGGAGTAGAACAAAAATGTGCTCTTATATGAAATAAATGCCAGAGGATAGGTAGAGACAGCATGAGATGTTCTGAACTCTGGAAAAACCATATTATCATTCTGTTGGGGGCAACACCAAAATTCCTCTCCTTTCCCTGTACAGATGCCATGTGGGACATGGGTCAGTAGAGCAAGATACTGAAATCTGAGGAAGAAGATTGCTTAGAGAGGCATCAGGGCAGTGGGATCCCTGGAAGCCTAAGAGAGCACTACCATTCCACATTAAAATGCTCACCACTCTCCCTAAGGAGCCATATGGAAGGCAAAGTGCCCTTTCTTCGGTCTTGGCTTTGTAGACCTGACCTGTCTCCTTCCAGAGAGCACCTCCCATCAAAGGAGTCATAGGCAGACAGGTTTGCAGTGGAATGGGTTACAGAAGTTAAGGACTGAAGAGAAGGCATGCATGGTAGGCGTGGGGTAGGCTTGGAGGGCTTGCCTTCCAGACCTGGCTCCACTGCTTATGCCTGTGTGATCTTGGAGACACCCCATAACCCCCTGAGCCTCAGGGAGGCTCCTCTTTATCTGCACAATGGGAACCACACTTGCAGCTCCCTCTGAAAGTTCTCATAAGGACTAGGTGAGATAATAAACAAAAGGGCTTTGCAAACTCTACAGCATGGTATGAAAATAAGCTATCATTATGAAAGGCAGAAGTGGTGTCTGTTTTCCAGAGCTCCAGGATTATTATTATTCCTACTTGGTGGTGTTTTGGAGACCCCTGCAGTATTGCCAGAACGGCTTCTATATCAGGTGGCTGCAGGTGTTAACGAATTAAGGTTTTAAATGGGCTCGAGAGCACTTTGTGTGTGGCCTGAATCCTGGCATTACCACCCCTCAGCCTGGTATGGAATGCTGGTCTGCATAGATCACCTTTTGTAATAGGCTGGGAGGGGATCTGGGTATCTACAGATTGTCTGCTAATTTTCCACTTCACACCGGAGACCCACTTCTACCTTGTCCTGGTAACCCATGACTTATATGAGGGCCAGCATTGGTGACCTGAAAACCTTATTGCTTAGTAACCCACTAGGCGGCCATGAATGCCTCCGGGTTTGCCAAGAAATCCCACATACCACAGTTGTAGACCCAGGCAGTGCAGACATGAATAGCTTTGGACCTAGGGCCTAGGAGGAGGAATCCTGGGGCCAGCTAATGCAATGTCTTCCCAAAACACATCTCTGGAAGACCGGATGAGCCCTCTTGTCTCAATGTACCTTGAGTGCCACCATGATAAATATCAATTAAGAGCTTATGACATGTCAGAAACTGTGCTAAGTATTTTATAGGCATGATTTCATTGTTTTAAAACTTATTTTTTAAACTGTGGTAAAATATACATAAAATATATCTTAACCATTTTTTGTGTGTGTGTGTGAGACAGAGTCTTACTTTGTTGCCCAGGCTAGAGTGAGTGCCGTGGCGTCAGCCTGGCTCACAGCAACCTCAATCTCCAGGGCTCAGCGATCCTCCTGCCTCAGCCTCCCGAGTAGCTGGGACTACAGGCATGCGCCACCATGCCCGGCTAATTTTTTGTATATATATTTTTAGTTGGTCAATTAATTTATTTCTATTTTTGGTAGAGACGGGGTCTCGCTCAGGCTGGTTTTGAACTCCTGACCTTGAGCAATCCGCCCGCCTCGGCCTCCCAAAGTGCTAGGATTACAGGCGTGAGCCACCACGCCCGGCTTAACCATTTTTAAGAGTATAATTCAATGGATGGCATTAAGTACATTTGCAATGTTGTGTCACCATCACCACGACCCATTTCCAGAACTTTTTCATTATCCCAAGCAGAAACTCTGTACCCACTAAACTATAATTCCCTATTCCCCCTTTCTCCTAGCTCCTGGTAACCACTAGTCTACTTTCTGTCTCTATGAAATTGCCTATTCTAGGTACCTCATATAAGTGGAATCATATGATATTTGTCATTTTGTTACTGGCTTATTTTAGTTAGCATAATTCCTCAAGGTTCATCCATGTTGTAGGGTGTGTCAGAAATTATTTCCTGTTTAAGGCTGAATAATATTCCCTTATATGTATAGACCACTTTTTGTTTATCTATTCATCTGATGGATATTTGAGTTGTTTTCACCTTTTGGGTATTATAAATAATGCTGCTTAAAACTTTTATTATTTTTTAAATGGAAAACTCCAAACGTGCAAAAGCAGACTAAAAAAAATATAATTCTGAACCCCCGTGTATAATAATGATCAACTCATCAACAATCATCAACTCATGGCCAATCTTTTCTCATCTATATCCCTACCTACTTCCCCCATCTCATATTATATTATGAGGCATATTTCAATCATAGATACTATTATTGTTTCAATTTTATATGTGGGGAAACTAAGGCACAGAGAGGTTAATGATCAAGGTTACAGAGGTCACAGTGATGGTCCAAGATTTAAGCAGTGTGTGACTGGGCCCATAATTTTAAGTCTTTGCTACAGGTGTGTGTGTGTGTGCTCATATAGAGAGACATGTTCATAAGGTCAAGTTTGGGAAAATTATACATTTGGAAAAGTTTTCCTCTGGTGCCTTTTCTTACATCTTTTTCCATACTTGGATGCCACATGGACTTTAGAACTGATAGACAGGAGTTTGAAGCCTTTGTTCTTAGTTACAAGTAGAGTCAGTAATCTCTGGCTTCCAGAGTGGCTGTGAAAATTAAACGAGATATGATCAGTAAAAATTCCAGGTGCCTTCTAACATGAAGCAGATCAGTACATGTGCTTTCCTCTCCCCTCCTTGAGGAGCCAGGCCCACCTTCCCTCCACAAAAGCAGACCTCAAGAACACATGCACTATGAGTGTGTGTATGGTCAGAGGTCAAGAGGTAACTTGTGTTGTGAAATAAAGGGTTTTATCCCTTTGTGTTGGGGTGCAAGGTGCCAGTGAGTGCAGAACAGTGGTGGTGCAATTCCTTCTTGCCCCTGAAATCATGTGCATATGTGTGCGTGCACAAATGCCTAAGATAGGCCTGTGGGCAAGTTCAGACTTCATTACCTGTCCAGAGCATCATGACAATCATGACATTGTCTTTCTTTTCTCTGAGGAATTATGACTGTTTTTCCTCTATTGGCTAAAATAGGAGGTGAAGTCCCTTGTTGGGACCCCCATCATTTTTTGGCCCAAAGACACAAAGCCACAGGACAGAGGTCTGAGCTCAGACAGGTCTTGGCAAGCCTGACTCTTCTCCTTTCTAAACTTCTGTGGCCAGGCTCCGGGAGTTAACTCAAGAAGGGCTGCAGAGATCAGTGGACAATTGAGCAGGACCCACTGGCTGACCACAGAGAAGTCCCAGGTAACCTCAAATGCATCTGCAGAGAGGCCACTGAGAGACACTCTGGTCTCAAGTACATCGAGTGGTGGTCAGCAAGAGTCTGATTGGCTGTTTCCTCCACCCGGAATGCCCTTTTCTGATCTTGCCCATGGAAGTAATGTAATCCTTTAAATGCCAAGCTCAAATAGTGCTTCCGCCATGAGGCTTTCTCTGTGTCTCCTCCCATTCCCCACTTCCACCCAGCCCTGGCTGCCACACAAAGTGATCTCTCCTTCTCTGACCTCCATGACATCACTTTTGTACCCTTTGAGGTACTTTTACTGCTTTATTTTTAGACCATCTGAATACCAGTCTTAACTCTTTGATAGATCAAAGTGCATTCCTCCACAACAGGGGTCGTTTCATCCATTCTTTCTGCTGTACAGAGCCATACACAGGGCACACAGTCAGCAACCACTAAATATCTGTTGGCTGGATATTGTCAGATGTTTCACATGACAATGGCACATAGAAGGCACTCACTAAATGCACACCGACTGAAATGACATCCACCTCTAACACCTGGGAAATATGAGACATTTTGCCCTACCCTTGATGTTCAGATGGAAACCAGTTTCATATAACCCTTTGAGTGATAAAATCTGTCAAAACTTCCATGGAAATAAATAACCAAAAAAACTGCCTTAGGTAGCACCCAAGATGGTCTCAAATGGGGTTTCAGGTATTCTAATATCCCAAAGTATAACATTTTTATTTGTCTGCTTAATATCCCACCTAGTCTCCCATAGAATTTGAAGGCCACAAAGTAGTACATCACAGTTGATTTGTTGATTTATGATCATCTCAATTAGAACTGGTTAGCCACAACTTTTCTGTTCATCAGCAGAATAATTAAATTTGTAACAGTGACCCCGTAGTTCCACGAGAAACCCAAACGCCTATTTAAGGAAGTGTTATATCTTCAGAAACATGTTTTTTAAGAGAACATTTAAACTACTTTTAACTTAACAATCCAGTGACATTAAGTACATCCACATTGTTGTTTAACCATTGCCACGATCTCCATAACTTTTTTTTTTTTTATTTCAGCATATTATGGGGTCCATAACTTCTTCATTATCCCAAACAGAAAGTCTGTACCCAGTTAACTCCACATTATCTCTTCCTCCCACCCCCCTGGTAACCTCTATTCCACTTTCTCTGTGAATTTGATTATATGTACCCCATGGAGTACATACAGTGGAGTCATACAGTATTTATCCTTTTCTGACTGGCTCATTTAACTTAGCATAATGTCTTTAAGGTTTATCCTTGCTGTAGCACGTGTCAGAATTTTCCCGTTTTTTTATTTATTTTTGAGACAGTGTCTCGCTTTGGTTGCCACAGGCTAAAGTGAGGTGCCGGTGTCAAGCCTACGTCACAGCAACCTCAAACCTCTGGCTCAAGC